AAAAAGAAAAAAAAAAAAGAAAGAAAGAAAAGAAAGAAAAATAAATAAAGAAAAACTGACAGCAGGAGCAATGTCTGGGCTGAATAAATTTCAGGCCATATCTTCCACGGATTATTGCATAGGGACTAAGAGGAGTCATTATGAAGGTTATTTGGCAGCAGGACAAAAACCTAGGAGAAACAAAAACACGTATCAAGGTTGGAGTGTTTAAATGTTTTCTCCTTTTTTGCCTATGGACAAGCATGGAATGTAGAAAGATGACAACAGGTTGGACTGGCTTCATAGCCTGGTGGTTAAGGGAGCTGGATCCGACATGGCCGAGCACAGTTCAAATCCCAGCCCCAGTGGCTTGAAACACGTAGCGGGCATGTGCGTGCCTCAAATCCCAACAGCTTGGAGAGATGGAAGAGAAGAGGTTACAGCAGGTCCGTGCCCCAGTTGGGGGTGCTTTCTCCTTCTCCCTCTCTCCCCCTCTTTCTCTGTCTCTGGTAAGCACATAGATGCCCTGGCAATTAAAAAAAAAAAAAAAAAACAGGACCAGTAGGTTCCATAGTGGTTACGTCACTGGACTCACACGTAGCCGATCGCAGTTCAAGTCCTGGACCCGGTAGCTTGAAAATCACAGTGGGCACGTGTGCGTTTGTACCCAAGATCCCAGGAGGAGAATGGAAGAGAAGGGATTGCAGCATGGCCCTCCTCCCCGCAGGGTGATTTCTCACTTTACCTCTCACTGTCTCTCATCTCTTCCAGTGAGTGTGCATGCCCTAAGGCAAAAGCATCTAAAAAAAAAATCATAATAAAAGAAAGGGAAAAGAAGAAGAAAAAAAAAAACTAGCAACAAGTGGTTTATTAGGATGATGGGATTCTGGGTGATTTTCTTAAAATGATACATGGCTATTTGTGGAATTGATACACAGGACTTCAAAAAAAAAGCATGGACAGCATCTTTAAAGTATGTGTTTATTTTGGTGCAAAAGTTTTTTTTTTTTTTTTTGGAGAGAGTTTTCACTGTAGGGCGCGTGCGCTCGCCCGACAGACAGAGAGAGACAGAGAGAGACAGAGAGACAGAAAGCGAGAAATCACCCCCCAGGGGGGATGGTCACGCCGCAATCCCTTCTCCTCCATTCTCCTCTCGGGATCTTGGGCACGCACGCACACGCGCCCGGCGTGAGTTTTAAGCCACTGGGTCCGGGACACGAACCGCGGTCGACTACGTGGGAGTCCAGCGACATAGCCATTACGCTAACTGCTGGTTCCCAGTGCAAAAGTATTTTGAGAGCCAGTAAGTAGTAAGGTGGTTAAGGTGTTAGATTCCACATAGCTGATTCTGTGGTTCAAGTCCCAGACCCAGCTGCTTGAAAATCACGCCAGGCACGTGTTCGGATGCCCAAAATCCCAAAAAGGAGAATGAAGGAGAGGAATTACAGTGTGGCCATCCCTGCCAAGAGGTGATTTCTCATTCCACCTCCTCCCCACCACAAACACACATGCCCTATGGCAGAAACCTAAAAAAAAGAAACTGTTTTTTGAAACCCACGTGTAGTTCTTTCATAAAATACTTTTCCTTGGTTGGTTGTAAGCACAGTGCTGGGTAAATCCCCACCAGCTGTGCACAGTCATTAGGTCGCAGTGTGCAGAACCATCCTTCCCCTCCTGTGGCATCTTCCTCTCCCTTTATCGGAGACACACACGCACACATACACGGCAGATCAGCAATGTATCCTTGGCTCATTTTTGAGTTCCATAGTTCTAAGGACACCCTAGAGTCTAAATGCTCTTCTTCTTTTAAAAAAATTTATCAGAGGGGGGCTAGCAGGTGGTGCATGGTTAAGGCGCTGGATTCCCACGTGGCCAACTGAGGTTCGAGTCCTAGACCTGGCAGCTCACTTTCCCTCTCTCTCTCTCTATGTCTCTCTCTGATCAAATCTAATAATAATAATAATAATAATAAAATAAATAATTTATTTTAAAAATGTTATCAGAGGGTATGTTCACTTGTTAGAGGGAGAGAAAGAAAGACCCCCCCAATGGAATGTGGTCATGCTGCAATCTCTCCATTTTGCTCATCTTTTCGGGACTGGGGGCACGCATGCGCACACGTGCCTGGTGTGTTTTTCAAGCCACCAGGTTTGAGATTTGAACGATGCATTTGGCCACATGGGATCCAGCTCCCTCAACCTCTGGGCCACAGAGCACGCCCTTTAAGAGCTTTTGGATTATATTGAGTCATCGGAAAAGTCATGATGCATCGTTGCATAGAAAAACAGAGAAATACGTCATGACTCTTCCGACGACCCCATCATTGAGTTGTCCTGGCAGTCCCCGATGTGTCCCGCCACAGTCCCAGCGGCTGAAGATTTCTGCCATGCGTGGACACGAATCAGAAAGCCGTCTTCTCCCCTCGCTGCGGGCTGCCTTGCGTCCGTGCCTATTTTTAGAAGTCTGTGTACGTCGGTCGCACTGGGACTATGGCAAATGCCCCCGTTACCCATCAGACTCTGAGTTTCCCGCACGCGCTGGGCTCTCACGAACCTCCGGCTTCCTCTCCCTTGGTTGTTCTGAGAGCATACATTTTATTGCCAGCTGTGGGTTTGAGTCCTACGCAGAACACCTCCCCGGGGAACTGCAAGAAAGATGTTTTATGGCAATCGCCCTGTAAGTGTCTATTTAATCCCTGAAAATGTCATTTATGAGTGTATTTCTGTAAAAATCCTTTCTTAAAAGTTTTGTCAGCTCGGCTTAGCAGCTGGGAGAAAAAAGGCAGCAAAATGAGTCCCCTCAATCAAGCTTGTGATTTTTTTTTTTCCCCAGACTCATGAATCCTCCTGAGAATTAGGCTTGTGACAAGCACCCACCCCCTCCACCTACTCCCTGGTTAAACCAGGTGCATGCTGACAGCAAGGAAGATTCCAGGGCATTTTGCTCCCAGGCACTCAATGTTTCTAAGTGGGCATTGCTCCTGTTGATCCAGAATCTTTTTCTTTTTTTTTAATAAAGTAGTACTTACTTTTCTTAAAAAAAAAAAAAGAATTATTTTATTTTTATCTTTATTTATTTTATTTTATTTTGACCAGAGAGAAAGAGAGAGAGAAAGAGAGAGAAAGAAAGAAAGCCGCCAGGTCCAGGACTCGAACCGTGGTCGGGCATGTGGGAATCCAGCACCCTTAACCACCTTGCCACCTGCTGGCTCCATGATCCAGAATCTTAATGATGTTACGCCTTGGATAAGAGATAGTGGTGGTGTAGTGGTTAAGGTGCTGGACTCCCACATGGTCGACCGCAGTTTGAGTCCCAGACCTGGCAGCATGAAACTCATGCTGGATTGGGACCAGCAAATGGTATAGTGGTCACACCGCTAGACTCCCACATAGTTGACTGTGGTTCTAGTCCTGGACCCGGCGGCTTCAAACTCACACCAGGCACGTGTGTGTGCATGCCCAACATCCCAAGAGGAGAATGGAGGAGAAGAGATTGAATCGGTGTGGCCATCCCCCTTAGGAGGTGATTTCTCACTTTCTCTGTCTCTCTGGCGAGCACATGTGCCCTACAGCAAAAATATCTCTCTCCAAAAAGAAGATAATTAGTGACAAAAAGGTGCGCTGAGTTCCATGGTACATCTTTTCTTTTCTTTTATTTTCTTTCTTTTTTTTTTTTTGAGAGGTTTTTGCTATAGGGCACGTGCACTCACCAGACAGACAGAGAGAAACAGAGAGACAGAAAGCAATTAATTACCCCCCAGGCATGTGTGTGTACGTGCCCAAGATCCTGAGAGGAGAATGGAGGAGAAGGGATTGCGGCGTGGCCAGCCCCCTGGGGGGTGATTTCTCGTTTTCTGTCTCTCTGTCTCTGTCTCTCTCTGTCTTTCTGGCGAGCACACGCACCCTATAGCAAAAACCTCTCAAAAAAAAAAAAAAAAAAAAAAAGGTGGGGTCCAGGAGGAGGGCAGCAGGTGGTAGGGACAGGTGCGGGACTCCTACCACGGGCAGCTTCACCTGCGTGGGCTTCGTGTCCACAGTTTCCCTTTAAGGAAGTTTTCATTTCCTCAACTGGAGAGGATTTGATCCAGGGTTGTCTGGCTCTACCAGCAGACCACAGTCCCATGGCTTCTGCCAGGAGAAGGCCCTCCCCAAAGGCTGCTTGGGCTTAAGCAAGGTGCTGGCTTGCAGATTTGGGGTGACCTAGCTGTCTCCACCACGGGTCCAGGAAAGCCAGCAGCCAGGGTACAGCTCAGGGCTGGGTACCCACTGACTCTGGGTGGGGGCGGGGAGCTGGTAACCTTGTTCTTCTATTTTTTTTTTTTAAGTTTACTTTATTTCATGAGAGAGAAACAAGTACCCCCAATCGGGTCTTGTCACTCCATAAGCCCCATCTCCCAGGTCTCAAGCTAGTGGGACTTGGACACGTGTGGCTGCTTCAGGTTGCCATGGGATCCGAACCCGTGGTCAGCCATGTGGCTTTGGGCAGTGCAGAGCAGCACGCCTGAGCCACCACGGCGGGGCTAACCTCACGGCGGGGCTAACCTGGCTCCAGGCGTTTCCTGCAGCGAGTCCCTGTGGCCGGTGGAGGCCAGAAATGCCGCCATTGCCAATCACTGCTTCACTTGCGCCATCAACCGCGTGGGCGAGGTAAGGTCTCAAGGTCTGGTGGCCCTGGTGGGGACAAGTCTCACCACTTCTCTCCATTCCATCTGCATGCGTGCCATGGGTCCCAGAAAGGGAACAACTGACTCGGTCTCTTAGTCTTTCTTTTTTTTTTTTTTTCTTTTTTTGGAGAGGTTTTTGCTATAGGGCGCATGCACTCGCCAGACAGACAGAGAAAGACAGAGAGACTGAAAGTGAGAAATCACCCCCCCCCCAGGGGGGATGGCCACGCCGCAATCCCTTCTCCTCCATTCTCCTCTCGGGATCTTGGGCACGCACGCACACGCACCCAGTGTGAGTTTAAGCCACCGGGTCCGGGACTCGAACCGTGGTTGACTATGTGGGAGTCCAATGGCATAGCCATTATGCTAACTGCTGGTCCCCTGTTTTTTCTTAAAAATTATTTAATTTTAGTTCTTCTTCTTTAATTTGATGAGAGAGACAAAGAGAGAGAGGGAGAGTGACAAGTCGCCAGGTCTAGGACTCGAACGGCCACTGGCCATGTGGGAGTCCAATGCCTTAACTACCACACCACCTGCCTGTCCCCCGTCTCTTAAAAATACTACGAAGTCCTCCTATTTTTTTTTTTTTTCTGGTTTTTGTTTTTAGCTTAAATCATTTCAACAGGGTCTTTGATTTGGAAGTGTTCACCCTATCACCTCCAAAGATCCAATTTCTCCTTTTTCCCCATGGACCCCACACGCCGAGCGATTTAGACTACCAAACACAATGACTCTATTACTTAGTAATCCTCTTCCTCATTCTTATTAACCAGAGCATCTGGCCAGCCTGCGATAACCGAGGTCTCCATGCAGCGTTGATCTGATTCCTTGGTACCATAAAGAAACCTGCAGTGTTAATTACCCTGGGTCACCCCATCACAGTGTGAGCTACAAGTTCCCAGTTAGGCCTTGGGGAAAACATCAACCGTGCGGGCATCACTCCCCTCTGCCAAACCCATTCTGCCGTCCCAGACCCCAGCTGGGATGGAATTACTTCAGGCAGGCTAACCTCATCGGTCTTTTTTTTTTTTTTGGAGAGGTTTTTGCTATACGGCACGTGCGCGCGCCAGGCAGGCAGAGAAAGACAGAGAGACAGAAAATGAGAAATCACCTCCCAGGAGGGATGGCCACACCGCAATCCCTTCTCCTCCATTCTCCTCTCGGGATCTTGGGCACGCACGCACACGCGCCCAGCGTGAGTTTTAAGCCACCGGGTCCGGGACGCGAACCGCGGTCGACTACATGGGAGTCCAGCGACATAACCATTACGCTAACTGCTGGTCCCACCTCACGGGTCTTTCACAGCCCTGAGGACTATCTGTGCCCGGTGTGTTTCTTTTTTGTTCCTTTTTTTTTTTTTAAGAGAGAGAGATTTTTGCTATAGGACACGTGCAGAGACAGAGAGACAGAAAGTGAGAAAGCACCCCTCCCCTCTGAGGGAGATGGCTACACAGTCCCTTCTCCTGCAGTCTCCTCTAGGGATTTCCGGCACCCGTGTACATGCATCCGGTGTGAGTATAAGTTGCCAGGTCTGGGATTCGAATCACGGTCAACTCCATGGAAATCCAGCGACATAACCATTATGCCATCTGCTGGTCCCGCCCAGATTATAAACTCCCCAAAGGCAAAGACCCCCCATCTTTACCTTGCTTGTCAAATTCCCCACCAGCCAGCCGCCCAGGGCTGGGTGTGGGTGCAACTGGGACATTTAGTAAGTACTTGCCAGTCGCCCAGTGAGGACAGACCATTCCCTCTGGCTTTAACTGTTCCCTCGCCAGCTCCGCCTCTGCCCGCCTGTCCTGGCCTGGCCGACGTCCTGGAATGGGTGTGGTGGTGGCGCCACCTGCAGGTTCCTCTGACCTCGGTCTTGTTTCACAGGAGCACTTTCCGAATGAGTTTACCTCCGGAGATGGAAAGAAAGGTGTGTCCCACGGGCGTCCTTGGCAGACTGTCCTTCCCTCCTGCCTTCAGCGTGGGCACCTACTTGTGGTTGGGGTGCGACAGGCGCAGCTGGGCTCATGGCCGTCTCATCCCCGCAACCGACACTGGCTCAGACGCCATTTCTCCCCTGGGACTGGGATGAAGTGGACTGAGAAGATGTGGGATCCCTTCGTGCGCTCCCTGATAGGGAGAGGGGCTCTCGTCCAGTGTGTAGACCTCCCCGCTCCTTCCCTCTGTCCTCATCTCCCCCTACCCCATCCCCACGAGCTGTATGAATGCCCCATGGCATGAGCCTAAATTGCCTTGGGTAGCTAGAGTCCACATCTTGAGTTATTTTTTAGAGGGAGATTTTTGCTATAGGGCAAGAGAGAGGAAGTAAGAAATCACCCCCCACCAGAGGGGATGGCCGGGCACACACACACACACACACACACATGCAGTGGGAGTTTCAAGCTGCCAGGTCTAGGACTCGAACCGCAGGCAAGCGTATGGGAGTCCCAGTGCCACTATAGCACCTGCCGGCTCCCAGGGTCCACATCTTGTTTTGACCTAAGGGCAGGTGGTACCACTTCTCTGCCAGGAATCCCCACCCCCAGGTCCCTACCTCTAGCCTGGAATGTGGGGAGGAGGGACTGCCCCTTCTCCAACGAGGTGTCCAAACTAGCTCAGGGTGTCCGCTGGGAAGTTAGAAGGTGCTCAAGCAAGTTGGTTTGCCAGAAAAAAAACATACCCTGAAGGGCCCCACATGCCCCTGCTTGAGGCCCCAGACTTGCAGAATCTTGGGGTTTCCTGTAGGTGGAGAAATGGAAGGGGCTGGAGGGTCGGTGTGCACTGGGCGCCTGCTGCGTCCAGGCCCCTGCCGGACCCAGCCCTGTCCCTCCTGCTCCTCCCACACCTGTAGGGTTGCTTGTAGCCCTCCCTGACCGGTGAGGGGACACAGCTGGCAGAGCAAGGCACAGCCTCCACTTAGCAGGTCACACAGGAAGCCCCAGCCGTGTGACTTCCTTGGGCTGTGGACAGCGCATGTTAGGAGCTATGAGCCAACACCTCTACCAGGGTGACATTTAGAAATTTCCCCAGGGCCAGTGGGAGGCCATGCAAAGGGGACTTTTCAGCAGCTTGCTGGGCCTTTTGGCCTGAGGACGGTGATAGGCCCTTGCTCAGCGTCTGACAGCCCCTGGGACGGGTGGCATGGTTGCCCTGCCCTGAGTGTCCCTCTGCAGAGCCCCCCCAGTGCCTCTGCATAAGCTCACAGATGCTTTCTTTGCGCCTTCAAAGCTCACCAGGACTTTGGCTACTTTTACGGCTCCAGCTACGTGGCGGGTCCTGACAGCAGCCGCACTCCCGGGCTGTCCCGGAACCGGGACGGGCTCCTGGTGGCTGAGCTCGACCTCAACCTCTGCCGGCAGGTGAACGATATCTGGAACTTCAAGGTAGGTCCCAGGTCCTACCGTTGTCCTGGTCCCTGCTGTCAGGCCTGGGAGCCCTGAGGCCACCTGAGGGGCCAGGTCCCCACCCGAGGGCTCCATGGTGAGCCGAGGGCCAGACCTCTAACTTCTTGCTGGCTCTGGAGAGAGACCATCCAGTCCAACAATGCCCAAGCAGCAAGCTTCAATAAATTCTCCTCTCATTGGATTTAGATTCTGGGCATCTTCAAACAAATTCATCTCAATCTCATTTGTCTAGAAAACAGAGCAGATTGGCTTCTCTGATCGTTTTTCCCTTTCCAGGCATTTGCACTCGTCACTAGATGAACGAGCATGTCTGGTTCTGCCCACGGCCAGGCCCGCAGTCCGGGCCTTGACCATGGTGGGAAACGGGCCATGCAGAGAAATGGGATGTAGGCCCGGCCGCACTGCCGCCATACTCACTCACCTTAGGCAAGCCCCTTCCGCTCCCAGCTTAAACTGAGAAGCTTACCCCGAAGGTCCCATGCTGCCTCGGAGCCCTAACACCTGTGACATCACTGCCTTCCTGGGGTGGGACAGTGGCAGCCATGTTGGGACCCCCTGGAAAGGCTCACAGTTGCAGAGTTTGCTGCGTTAGCGTCCGGTAGTATTTCCATCGACTCGGCACCCCTGTGGAAGCGGGTCTTACAAGCAAACAAACTTCACGTCGTGACGACTCAGTGACTTCGCCCAGAACGACTGACACAGCCAGACGTGGGCTCTAGGCCTCGCTCCACCTCCTCCCCCTGCTACACCCCCCGTTTACCCGAGCCTGGGTCCTCGGGCACGTCCCCTTGATCTAGACCCCTGTCAGACAGATGAGGCGTTGCCCATGTGAAAGTCTCCCCAATTCCTGGGCAACTCAGAATCAGGCAGGAGCCCAGGCAGGTTAGAAGTCAGAGCCAAGAACCCTGGCCAGCTCTCTAAGTCCCACCAGCAGTGATGAAGACACTGTTTTCTCGTTCCCTGATTTTTAGAAGAAGAAGCCTCCCAAAACTGTGGATGGGTGTGAGCTCCTCAAGGCTTTATAAAAGATCCTGACTTGGGGAAGAGGGAGGGCAGGTGTGCTGGGGTGCGAGCTCCCTGGAGGGCTCTCCCTTCACCTCCCAGCCTGTCTGTGTCCACGATAAGATGTCACAGGAGGGAACCAGCAGTTAGCGTAATGGCTATGTCGCTGGACTCCCACCTAGTCGACCGCGGTTCATGTCCCGGACCCGGTGGCTTAAAACTCACACCAGGTGCGTGTGTGTGCGTGACCAAGATCCCAGGAGGAGAATGGAGGAGAAGGGATTGCGGCGTGACCATCCCCTCTGGGGGGTGATTTCTCGCTTTCTGTCTCTCTGTGTTTCTCTGTCTGTCTGGTGAGCGCACGCGCCCTGTAGCGAAAACCTCTCCAAAAAAAAAAAAAAAAGATGTCACAGGAACAGACAGACCTCAAGACCAGCAGAGCCAGGTTCAAATCCTGGCCTTCTCCACTACTGGCTGGAGCAGATCGGTCCACTCTCCGGCTCAAGGCTGCCCCTCTGGGGTTCTGCAGGACACCCCTCTTCCCTCCCACCTTGGGACAGCCCACCCCTTCTGGATGGACAGGTCACGGAAGTCGCAGCAGGCAGGGCTGGCTGCATGAGTCATCTTGACATCTGTGAACTTCGTCCCCCGGCATTGGAATCCGTGTCTAGGGGTCACACGGAGGTGGTGTTTCTGTGACTGTCCCTGAAATCTCCCCGTCCGCCAGCCGTTCAGAGAATCTGTGTCCCGCGACTGCCCTCTAGCGGCAGGAGGCGGTGAGTGAGTGAGAGGTGTTCATGAATGGGAACCTCTGACGCATGCGTGTTTGCTTTCAGATGACCGGCAGGTACGAGATGTACGCGCGGGAGCTGGCCGAGGCCATCAAACCCAACTACAGCCCCCCGGTGCTGAAAGAGTAGCTGGTGTGGGCTCCTGCTGCCGAGGGGCCGGGCCTCTGCCCTCAGTGGATCGGAAGTGAGGCAGGCTCCACGTCCCAAGTCCTCCTTGATAACGTTGCTGTCCGGATTGGTTTTCAAGTGTCCGGGCAGAGTGGCGAGTGACCACGTCGTGGGTACAAGGTTTGCTTCTTGGGGGACTGGACAGGTTTGGCGGCAGATGGAGGAGAGGGTTGCACAACCATGTCCTACATGCCTCTGGATTGTATTAAAAAGGTTCATTATATGTTATGTGACTTGTTTCTCAGTTTTTAAAAAATGCCAGCAGGTGGCAGTGGTGAAGGCGCTGAACTCCCGCATAGCTGCCCATGGTTCAAGTCCCAGACCTGGTGGCTTGCTTTCCCACTTTCTCTCTCTGTCTTCCTCTCTGTGTCTCTCTGGTGAGCACCTGTGCCCTATAGAAAATAAAATAATAGGGGCTAGCAGGTGGCATGGTGGTTATGGCAGCTGGACTCCCATATAGCCGACCGCGTTTCGAGTTCCAGACCTGGAAGCTTGCTTTCTCACTTTCCTTCTCTCTGGTCAAACTTCAAAAAAATAAAATAATGGCAATGAATAAATTCAAAATATAATAATAATAAATGTTTAAAAAATTATTTATTTAATTTTATTTATTCTTCTTCAGTTTGACCAGAGAGAGAGAGGGAGAGTGATAGTGAGAAAGCAAGCCACCAGGACCATGACTCAAGGCAGGGTTGGCTGTGTGGGAATCCAGTGCCTTAACCACCACACCACTTGCTGGCCCCAATAAATAAAATTTTAAAATAATAATGATATTCTTTAAACAAAAAATCATAAAAATGCTTGTGCAGGTGGATTTAAAGTTAGGCAGATGGGCTGGCTTTGTGGCCTGGTGGTTAGGGCAGCTTGATCCCACAAGGCCCATAGTTGAGTCCTAGACCTGGAATCTCAAGAAACACGCCGGGTGCATGTGTGTACAGGCACGGTCAGATTCACAAAAGGCAAGCAGGGGTGAAGGAGAAGGAATTGCGGCGTGACCCGTCCACGTGGGTGGTGCTTTCTCTCTCTGTCTCTGTCTCTCTCTCTGTCTCTCTCCAACAGATTTCTTTTTTAATAAAATAAAGTTAGCCAGATAGGATGCCCCAGTTCTGCTGTCACCTCTGAGGTCAGTATGGGTGTCTGTACACTCGTGGGAAGAGAGTGAAGTCTGGTCCAGAGTCACTGAGCCCGCGGCACGGCTGAGGACACGTGGGATGGTCTTTGCATTTCACTCTGGCTAGGTGACGGTCCTCAGTCATTCAGTTAGACACTAGTTCAGGGGTCTCGTGAAGTCATTTCGTATTGCTAGATGTGATTAAAATCCATTACTTAGTTGAACCAGCAGGATGGAGGGCTCCTTTCTTGGAAGGGTACCTACCTCGAAGTTGCTACAAACCCGGAGCTGCTGTTGCTGCAATTCCATCTTCAGCGTCACGATGTTTCCCCTGGCCAAAAACGCACTGAGTCGTCTCCACGTTCGAAGCATTCAGCCAGCAATGGCAAGGCCGAGCCGGCAGAAACGGACACCTGATTTTCATGACAAACATGGTAACGCTGTGTTAGCTAGTGGGGCCACTTTCTGTGTTGCTGCATGGACATATACAGTAACACACATTGGAAGAGCATGGAACTTGTCTCCTGTTGGCAGAGTCACCCCAAAGGAATGGAGAGATCAGTAAATCATCCCAGCTGGTGTAATACTGAATTGTTTCAAAACCAGCTTACAAAAGGGACCAGCTGTTAGCGTAACGGCTATGTCGCTGGACTCCCATGTAGTCGACCACAGTTTGCATCCCGGACCGGGCGGCTTAAAACTCACACCGGGCGCGTGTGCGTGCGTGCCCAAGATCCCGAGAGGAGAATGGAGGAGAAGGGATTGTAGCATGGCCATCCTCCCTGGGGGGTGATTTCTCGCTTTCTGTCTCTCTGTCTCTCTCTGTCTTTCTGGTGAGTGCATGCGCCCTATAGCAAAAACCTCTCCCCCCCCCAAAAAAAAAGAAAGAAAGAAAAAGAAAGACAGGAGGAGCATGGACTCCCATGTCCCCAGTCTCTTGGCTTTTGGGCATCTTCCCAAGAGCGTGCCATGCCGTAAGTCATTCTGATTCCCCTGACCCACGGCAGCTAGACCAGATCAGTTCAGCTTACCTCACAGCGTGGAATCAATCTGACCAACGGGACTTCCCACAGCAGCATGAGCCCAGCCTGCAGTATTAACCCCGTTCCTGACCCCAGGGTCCTCAGACCCACAGGCTGAGCAAATCCCATGCACAAACCTCCCGGGTCGCCCTCAGGAAGCCAGGTGGCTTTGCTCAAACATTGACCTTTCCACTTGGCTCAGGTCGTGAAGCCAGGGACAGCAGGGGACTGTACACATGGCTCCGTCTCCTGGGGTCCGCAGGAGGAAGGCTGGAGCGAGTCGGAGATCCATCCCAGCCTGGCCCTGTGCGTTGGTACTGGCCAGAGTGGCTGCCAGAGCCGCGGTGGCACCTTCATGACTTCAGCTCCAGTCAGAGCAACATCGCCTCACCTTCTCTAACCAGCCGGCTCCCGTTACAGGGATGGTGGTCCCTGTTGTCCCTCCCCACACTGTTTTCTTTTTTTTTTTTTTTAGTTTTGCCGTAGGGCTTACTGGAGAGGGATGGGGGGAAAGTGAGAATTTACCCTCCATCCAAGGGATGGCCATACCACAATCCCTTCTCCTCCAGTCTCCTCTTGGGATTTTGAGCACACACGCACACACGCACACACGCTCATGCACCCAGTGTGTTTTTCTTTCTTTCTTTCTTTCTTTTTAAAGATTTGTTTTATTTAACTTTATTTATTTATTTATTTTAATTTGACCAGAGAGGGAGAAAGTGAGAAAGCAAGCCACCAGGTCCAGGACTCAAACCATGGTCAGCCATGTGGGAGTCCGGCGCCCTTAACCACCACGCCACTTGCCAGCCCCCCCAGTGTGTTTTTCAAGCCACCGGGTCTGGGACGTGAACCACGCATCCAGCCATGTGGGATCTAGCTATCTTTTTACTTGTGTTTTTATTTTTGGAGAGGTGTTTTGTTTGTCTGTTTTGTTGGGATTTTGGGTGCTTTTTTTTTTTTTTAATTTTTTTTTTGTTTGTTATAGGACATATGTGCTCACCAGAAAGACAGACTCAGGGAGACAGAAAGCAAGAAATCACCCCCAGGGGGGGATGGCCACACTGCAATCCCTTCTCCTCCATTCTTCTCTTGGGATCTTGGGCACGCACGCACACGCACCTGGTGTGAGTTTAAGCCACCGGACCCTGGACTAGAACCGTGGTCGACTACATGGGAGTCCAGCAACATAGCCATTACGCCAACTGCTGGTCCCAGCACCGTGACCCGCAAGGGAGGTTCCAGGTTCACATTTGGGACCCCCTTGTACACACTAGACTCATGTATGACTGTGACCCAGGGCTGGTTGGGGCTGGGGGTCAGTTGCTGCATGGGGACCCTGTTGGGGGGGTTCCTGTCTTTCTCTCTCGCTTTTGTTTTTGAAGGACAAAGAAATTTTAAAGCATAAACAAGAGACCAGCTGATGGTGTCATAATAAAGCATAAACAAGAGACCAGCTGATGGTGTAATAATTGCATCGTTGGACTCCCATGTAGTCGACCACGGTTCGAGTCCCAGACCAGCAGCTTAAAACTCATGCCAAGGACATGTGTGTACATGTCTACGATCCTGAGAGGAGAATGGAGGAGAAGGGATTGCAGCATGGCCATCCCCCAGGGGGGTGATTTCTTGCTCTCTGTCTCTCTGTCTTTCCTGTGGGTACATGCGCACATGCACCCTATAGTGAAAATCTCTCTCTAAAAGAGAAAACAAAAGAGCAATAACCAGTGGTGTGGGCGGGAGGGAGCGTGGTAGGTCCCTTGAATACTTGGACGATCAGCCAGTGTCGAGTAGCTTCTCTGAGAGGCCATTGTTAGACGGCACATAGTCCAGCGAGCCGGAAAAACATGACACAAAAAACACAACGTATTCATTTTAAGGCCCACGGCGTCGCACCAGAGTTGGCTGGCTGGATGGGAACAATCAAATAACCGGAACGAAATGTCAACAGTGCTGAGTCATCACCAGTAGCCCTGGGGGGGAGGGGTCAAAGGTCTCAAGAAGTCAATCTGCCGTGAACAAACTGGGGCAATGCCCTGTGCGAAGTGACCTCCTTCTCTGGAAGCGAAATGGGCCCACCTTTGGTAGGAATCCCAAGCCTGGTGCATGGTGGCTGCATTTCCTTTTTTAATTTTTTTTGAGAGGTTTTTGCTTGAGGGCGTGCATACTCACCAGAAAGACAGAGAGAGACAGAGACAGAAAGCGAGAAATCACCCCCCGGGGGGGATGGCCACACCACAATCCCTTCTCCTCCATTCTCCTCTCGGGATCTTGGGCACGCACGCACACGTGCCTGGTGTGAGTTTAAGCCACCGGGTCCGGGATTCGAACCACGGTCACCTACATGGGAGTCCAGCGACATAGCCATTATGCCAGCTGCTGGTCCCAGGTGGCTGCATTTCCATCCGAAACCCCTCGCCTCTGTGTTCAGCTCACAGTGGTGGACATGCCGCCATGCCTAGCACAATGACGAAGCCCCAGGGCAGTGTGAGTCTGTCCAGACGCCCAACAGCCTTAGTCCAGTCGGTCTCACGCTCTCACCACGGGCCTCCACGTGTGTGGTGTGGACAGGTTCATTACAGATACCGTTTATTTCTAGCACTCATGGCTCCAAAGTAGCTTGTATTTAATCCCCCAGTTGAGGTTTTCTAATGGTAGGCCAAATGACTAGGCTGTTGGCAACAGCCTTAGAGTCAATACAAATATAAAAAGACTTTTATTTATTTTTTATTTTTTTATTTTTTGAGAGGTTTTCGCTGTAGGGCGCGTGCGTTCGCCAGACAGACAGAGACAAAGAGACAGAAAGCGAGAACTCACCCCCCAGGGGGGATAGCCACGCCGCAATCCCTTCTCCTCCATTCTCCTCTCGGGATCTTGGGCACGCACGCACACGCCCCCGGCGTGAGTGCTAAGCCACCAGGTCCGGGTCGCGAACTATGGTCAACTTCATGGGAAGGCGTGAGTGCTAAGCCACCAGGTCCGGGTCGTGAACTATGGTCGACTTCATGGGAATCCAGCAACATAGCCATTACCCTAACTGCTGGTTCCCAAAGAGACTTTTATTGACTCAGATTCTTTTCTTGACTCTCGCTGGACTC